TCATCCCCCTACTCTTTCTTTTCTGTGTCCCTATCTTTCCCCCTGAGAATGCTACCATTTACTCTGACCCACCAGCCCCAGCTCTGAACTGTTCTCATCGCTTTGTCGTTGTCACCTCCCCAGTCTATGATGGAGTCTTACTCAAGTACCTTGCCAAACCTTCTCAGCTCTCTCCTCTCATTATTAATCGCATCTACTCTGCACTCAGGTCTAGACCTTTATCTATGCGATTTCAGCCACCTTCTAATCATTCTTCTTGGAGCTCACACTGTCTCTTTCAAGTCCATCCTTAAAATATGTCACCCATACTACAATATCAAAGTATCCTCCACAGGATGAGTGGGGATGTGTTTCGGGCTGCAGAGCCATCCCCTTCCCCTCTAAACAGCATGGTTCTCTTCCACTTGATACAGTGAGCCACCTGTTGTTGTGGTTTCTTTTTAAATTACCTTTAGCTGTCTGTTTGTCTACCTCCTTATTTATCTTTGTATACTTATGTATGCATACATGTGCCACAGTGTGTCTGTGTGTGTGTGTGTGTGTGTGTGTACTTGTGTGTAGGTCAAAGAATAATTTGCAGGCATTGGTTCTCATCTTCCACTGTGTGAATCTAGGGACTGTCAGTCTCAGCAGCACGTGCCTTAACCCCTTACAATTCCTCTCACATTCTGTACCTTTTCACACCTCCATTTCCTTCTAGAACATTCTCCTCTTCCTTATCTCCACATCTGTGTATTTCTTTCATCATTTGTTGATATCTACTTCAAGACTCAACACGTATATCATTTTTTCTTAGAAAGTTCTGATTCTTTCAGTATAGCAGCCTACTGCCCACCAGTCAATACCCCATTTCCACCCTTCCATCTTTCCTCCTGAGCACTCCCAATATCAAATTTACCAAATTACATTGGAAGAGTCCTTCTCCTGCATGCCACTGCCATTCTTACCCTAAATTTCAGTTCTCTCTTGGAAACAAAGAAATTCATACTTATCTAGACAATCAATCCATAAAATGGACGCAATAAACTTTTACTGAGTTCTGCTTAATTGAACTGCATCCCTTTAGCAGAACAGGGAGCAAGATGCATGTTTCATCCCACAGCTTAAACAACCGACTCTTATTCTTTGCAGTCTCTGTCCTCACAAAGCAATTATCCTATTCCCTTCTCTTCTCCCTAAAGGATAACAGCAATCCTTCTTACTATACACTTGCCAGGCATTTATTAGGCACTTGCTGTATGTAACAAACTGTACTAGTGCCCAGGGATGCAAAGATAGATATGATAAACCCTCCTTGAGGAGCTCACAACTGGAGGTGGGGAGCTACAGCAAACAGCACACTGCAATAAGTTCTGGGACAGCTCAGGAAAGCTGGTATAGGACACCCCCCCCCCCCCCAGAAGGCTGCAAGTGATTCTCCACCTAAAGGCTGCAAAGACTTTTCTGTCGCTCTGCTCTTGTGAACACTTTGCATTAAGTTATTCTGATGCCATTTCACATACTGATGTTCCCAAACAAAAGGAACAGAACAAGAAAGGAAGAGATGCAGTTCTTGCTATGCCCTCTGGGCATCTGGTGAGACTTCTGTCCCTTCAATAGATCTCCACAGCCAGAAAAAAAAAATGTACTGCAAAGAGCCATTCAGTGAACAATGGCAAACAGTCACACTTCTGAGAACAGACGCTTTTGATTTCAGGAGAAATTTATTATAAAATAATTGACATTTCAGAAAATAAAAATACATCATTCGGCTCCCAAGGTAGCCCAATTCTTTATTTCCAAGGGTATGGAAATGCCAAGGTACCACTCTTTACAATATTGACCTTGACCAGTATTTCAGAAAGGGTCCAGCTGAGTCATTTAGCAGCAAATCAATTATGTTCCCTTCCAGGGTTCCATAATGTATGGCCTTTTCCCCCCACCTGGAATAATTGCAGCTATTGAAAATAACATTCTTTACCCTGAGTACAATGCTGGGGACAGCCTAGCTCTTCTCTCCAAAGGATAGGTCTACTGTTTCGTATTACCTTTCTTTGGTCTTAGTCCCAAAAATGACAACCAAAGCTTGCTTTTGGCAGCTCTCCTGGCCACATTCCCTTCTATGCCTTCCTCACAGTGCCCTCCATGCCTGGGTAGTGAGAGATGCTCAGTGCCGGGCTGCCCTGTGAACCATAGGCAGAAGGGTATGGAATCTGCTGGCTGAAGGCTCAGGATGGAAGAAGCGGCTCGGATCCCATCACCAGCTAAGTGACATCAAGTATAATGAGAGAGTTTTCAAACAAAAAGCTCAGAGAGGAAAAACAGAAAAGATATCAAGATGTTCCCCCATAAAGTCTTCAGCTCATACTGCCTAATGTCTACAAAAGAAGGTTGGCTCACACAGGATTATAGTACTTTTCCTGTCTCATATCGGAAGAAATCTGCCCATTTGAACACTTGAATTTGCGAAGTATTGCAATGGCATTGACTGTTCTCACACTCTGGTCTGTGAGTCCTGATTTAGAGCCCTGGCTGGCACTTTTTTTGTGAAAGCAACTCAGGTCAAGAATATGGGCCATTCCACCTCTGCACCTGAACCAAGATTGTGTTTCCTAGGTGGGTGGACAGATGGGCAAGTGAAGCTGACAGACAGCAAGGAGCCCATTCCTAGATCCCAGGTTCACACAGCAGAGAGAAGCAGAATTATCACCACCAGTACTTTCTAGCCAGGCTTTTTAGAAAATCGATCTTTTAGTGGGCAGGCTCCTTATTCTTGCATTGCTTCTGCTTCTCCATTAACCATGAATTCTAACTTTTAGGTCCCCAAAACACCTGCGTTGTAAGCAGTTCCCTTGAGAAAAGGCCCGAAGGGATTGTTTTCAAAGCTGATAATACTGTTGATTTAGATTATCTGAGACACAACGAGAACCTGAAGAAAATGAACCAGAGTCTGAGTCGAAAATAAAAGACACAAAAGGAGTTGACGGAGCACCATGCAGTTCTTACTGGAGACATCAAAGTTGACCTAATGAGACTTGAGCAGAACAACTTCTATCCCAGCATTGAGTAACTGCGCAAGAACCCTCGAGCTATCATTTCTCCCTGATTAACCATTGTTACTGAAGTCATTGCCCTGAAGACTGCACAAACAAAAGAAAAGCAAGGCAGAAAACTGAAGAAATTCAGTGTTAATTAAAAGAAACATAAACAAGGAGAAAAACACAAGCAGGAATCCAAAGACTAGAAGCAGAAACCCAAACATATTAATTCTCTGCCTCTTAGGAAGCAACAACCCCATTAGCAATGTTACAAGAAAATGAGCCCAGGGTGGAAGTACCATTAACATCCAGATAGTTCAGAAACTAAACAGGCTGTTAGTGTTAGCTGGGACCAAGAGGCAGATTTCAATCACTTGGAGAAAAGCTGATTTGAAAACATTAAAAATAAAGCCACTCCAAAGAGTTGGAAAAAGAATTTTGATTTCCTTTTCTTTCCAAAGGTTTGGTTGCCTTTTCCACCAAATTTGTTATGGTCATTAAAGGCAAACAGCAGCCAAGTTAAGAACTGTGAAAGCGGAAATGGTACTACTCCTGGCGACATTCCCGACACCTTTCCCCTAGTGTTCAGGGTATGAGTGTTAGATCAAGTCAAGTCCCGTGCTTCCTCGCACACTCTCTTCTCAGTGCTTTCGTTCTCGTGAGTGGATTCTGAAGGATAATTCAGAAATGAGAGGAAGTGACTGGAGAGTCGGTAGGAAAGAACAAAAGGTGATTCATGGGATTATATGGGTTCTGGAATTGGTTACAGTTGGATTCAAGGCCTGTTTGTGTCTCTTCCTGGTGCCAAGTCATAATCAGAGCTTAACGTTTCCTGCTCCCACTTCAAGGTTGATCTCGACATGAATGTTAAATCTCTACATCAGGGCTAAGGTTGTGTTTTAGTTGGACGCTGAACTTGTGCATCACCACATGCTGAGCAGGACTCTACACGTAAAGACTGTCAGTGCTGCTAAGTGTCAAGCTCACTGTGAGTCAATCCTCTGAGGCATCTCCAATACCAAAGGCCTTGACGGGTTCTAGCAAAAAGCGCAAAACATGATTCACATGGATCCTTCGAACTTAGAGAACAGGACAGCACAGACTTCTCTGTGCAACCTAATGGGGGCAAAGATAAGAAAACTAAAATTGTAGTTAATTTCTCCATTTAGATGAGCAAGCTCTGAATAGTCTACAAATTGGGATTTTACTAAGTCAACCAAACTGGTAATTAAAATGCCCTCTTCCTGGGATTGTTATTCTGCTTTTCCACTGCCACAAAATCAGAGGTGCTATTCTAATTCTTGATACACCCCAGAACAGAACAAGGTTTTCTTTTGAAAAAGATGCATTTTAAAGTAAAACAGAGTTCCATCACTCTCTCCTTCCATTTCCTTCCTCCAGCCTCTCCCAGGCTCTGCTCTCCCACCCTTCCCATCTCACCCCGACTCCCTCAAACTGAGCCTTTCTCCGAACAAGGTTCTCTTAATGTTTAGCTTCTGGGTCCAGGCCTGAGCTTTTGCACTGCTATCGATAAGGTCAAATGAAGGTTAAAAATAATTTTCACTCTGATTCTTCTTTCTTTAGAGACTCGTTGAATAGCCTCAAAATGAGTCCTATCGCTTTTTCCAGCAAGAAGTTCATTATACCCACTCTTAACTGGCCACGGCCAGCACCAGGTAACAAGAAGTTTTCTCAGAGACTTAAAAGGCTCTGAGTGCAGACAAAAGGCCTAACACAGGAAGGGGATTCCAGTCCACTGTAATCACCCCAGAGCTGTTCAGAGCTTGGATGTCCTAACTGGAGCCTGCGCTGAGTCACTGCAAGGCTTGCGGTACCCATCTGGCACCTGAAATGAGACTTTGATCCCTCTTTATTCATGATGGAAAGGAAGGATAGATCTAAGATTGCATGACAAAAACAAAAACAAAACTAAAGGTTATTTTGCTAAGAGATCATTTTCTTAGTAATAGTAGGAAGTAGTACCTTTTAAAATCACGCAGCTCAACATGTCAAAGGAGCAGTGGCAGTTGGAAAACTGGACTTCCTTTTTTTCAATCTCCTTAATTAGTCAAGGAAACAATATAAGTTAAAAAATAGGCTGCCAAATAAAATCAAAAGTAAAGTCAGAAATTTAAGTAGCAGCTGAAGTGCAAGGTTCTTTAAGTTGCCGTCTCAGATCCTGTCACCATGAGGATTGTGTCACACACTTAAAGACCCTACACTGGTCATCACGGCATTAAATGTGATAACTCTCATAAGAGTCAGCAGCCAGTCCGATTGCAAAGGCAGCGGAGTTCTCTAAGGTAATGCTGACTTTTCTCTTATGACAAACGCCTAGAACAGGAATTTTAGACCAGCTTCAAGAACATCAAAAGAGCAAGAAGAGGCAGAGACCAAAGCTTTCCAAGAGCATTTAGTCGACAAATGGCCCATGGGTGAGTCTGCTTCATTCCCAGAACCATGAAACAGCGATTTGTCATTTTGATGAAAAGCATTTACTGTGTGACAGCGCATGCTCCGACCACTTAAAATGTATCAATTCTGCTCCCACACAGTTCTTTAAAATAGATATCATTTTAAATACCTAATTTTTGGAAGGAACAGAGGCACAGAAACCAGAAACTCGCTGAAAAGGTAAGAATGTATCCATGACACAGAGCTAGAATTTGAATTAACAGAATACCCACACCCCCGGAAAGGTCATCTTGAGATTAATGATTCTTGGAAGAACTGCTGATCAGGAGCTTTCTTCTCCCCTAGAGGTGGAAATCATGTCTCCAGGACCAAGTGACTGTGGGTAAGAAACAACATTTTTTCCCCATATCTGAATAATAGTATAGAGATGTTGTTCTATTAGATAAGGGTCAATAAACTACACCAAACATCCAGTATAAGATAGAAATTTAAGTTTATCTCCTTCATTCTTTTATCTATCAAGTTCAGTTTTATGACCCATGACAAATACAACAGTAGGAAGAACAAGGAAACATCAGGAGTTTCTGTAAAATAGTTCACAAAATCTAGGATGGAAAGGGAGTTTAATCAGGAAAATCTGTACTTGAAGCAGAAAGGAAATCATGTAAGACTCTCATAATAATATCTGTAAAGGATGTGGGAAATCTCAATACTAAGTCTGGATCCATTCTGAGGAGTCTATGTAGGCATATGTCTTCAGATAGCTGGTATCTCGTGTGTTAGAAAGACAGTACACATTCTCACCGAAGGCCAGAGCAGAGTGGCAGATGTGCACATATTAGCACTGCCTTCAGTATTAATAATGCATTTAATAGTCCAGATGTATAAATAACAACCATAAGTAGTAGAAATGAGGACAAAGTCTATTGTTTGAACATGACAAGAGGCTACATGAAAGTTAAAAATCAAAGTAAAAATTATACTAGGAAATGAGGTTAGGAGGCTTCATTTATGTATCCATTTATATGTACTTATCTGCCATAAACATGTAACATTAAAAATGAGGTCATAACTGTAAGGCTGCACAGGAGAAGTTTCAGGAAAGAGAGGCAGGGGTGGAAATGATATAAATAACTATTCATGTATAAACTGCTAAAAAAAATTTTTAAATCTTAAAGAAAGGATGGTGCTTGATTACAAAGCAATGTTTTCCTATACCCAAACAATAAGAAATGCAATGGCCACAGACACACATGTACACACACATACACACTCGTTCACATACATGTACGTACACACACATTCACACTCAGAGACATACACATTCATCCATACACATGCGCACACTTAACACTCACACACATACACATAAACACACAGAGACACATTCAAAAGTCTAGGCTGGGAGACTCGTTCTAGTTTCCCTGCATTTGTTTGAAGGGAACCATGGTGCTGTAGAAAAGCTGAACTATCGAACTGACGTGAAGCACATTAAGGGGAACACGGGAAAATAACTGATCTCTCGCTGCAACACTGTGAGCGGCAACAGCAGGAGATTCTGTGTGGTTGTTTTAGTAAAATTGCAGAGAAGCTAGGCAAAGTGAAAATTGCCGGCTTGAATAAAGCCAAGCCGAAGAAAACAGACCTGGGAGAAATCTCCTACTGATGAAGAGACCACTCAGGAGTAGAAGCATGGTGAAATTTCCAAAACACCAGAGCACCTCCCCCCAACCAACCATCTCTAAGGCCTTGGTGGTGACATGGAAGAGGAGCCGCATGCAAGATAGATGCAATCACAGGTGTGCTGTGAATGAGTTCGGGGAGAAGGAGGCCGAGGCCATCAGACTGTAGCTTCTGAGGACACCTCCCACTGGACATCCATAGTCGCTTGGGCATTAGAGACAGTTATTTGTGAGCTTAATGGAAGCAAAGTAATTGCAGCAAAATAAAAGGCAACAGAAAGAAGGTGTTTCTGAAGCAAACCGCAAGTGCGGTTGCAGACACATGCAGGTTCAGCAGAAATGATCTCAGTATTTATAGAAACATTTTAATTGGAATTCTCAAAAACAACACAAAGGTGGCGAGGACAGAAAGATGAACCTCTCTGTTTCTCGCCACATGCCGCACTAATTGTAACAATTTTTCATCTACGCACTGTTTATTTCCACAACTGAACTTCCGGGATTGCCATTCCCTGCTTGCCTATGTATAAAGATATTGTGTAAACAAGCATGTAGGTAAGTCTGTATGATTTCCAGAAAACCATAATAAGGCAGGAAGACATTCTGCAATTAATAAAGAAAATAACTGATCTCATCAGGAGAAAAGAAAATGAAAAAATGAAATTGAACATATCAGAGAAGTGAGTGTGTCTGTGTGTGTGTGTGTCAGAGAGAGAGATTTGCTATTTGATAGAGGTAAGTTTATCAGTGTGTGTGTATATATATATATATATATATATATATATATATCACAAGTTAATCAACCATTGTCTTTGCCAACTTGATAATAATTTTTTCTAAACTTCAAAAAGTTCTAAATTTATGGCATCATTTCAGAATGAATATCCTATGACTTCAAGGATTAAATGTGAAAAGTGAGGCAATGAAATATTTTAAGAAAATAACCTGGATATTTTATTCCTTAGGGGAGAGGAAGTCTTTCTGAGCGTGTTACAGTACCCAGCATTTCCTTTCTTGGTGCATAAAGGAAGAATACAATGATTTTGTTTATTTTAAAATGAAAACTCTATTATCAAAAACCGTGAGGGTTCAGGGGCTAGAAAGATGACCCATTGGTTGAGAACACTTGCAGCTCTTGCTGCTCTTACATGGGACCTGGTTTCAGTTCCCAGCACCGACAAGGTAGCGCACAACTATTCCTTACTTTAGTTCCAGGGGATTCAATGCTTCCTTCTGCTCCATAGCATAGGAAAGAACATGGTACACACACACACACACACACACACACACACACACACACAAAACCACCTAAGCACATTCAATTTTTGAAAACTAAAAAACAACTAACAAAGGTACAGTACAAATTGGCAAAAATGTTCTAACATCTTTTTACTGAATAGCTGAATGGACAAACGCGGAAAAATCAGTTAAGAAATTAATACATTCCAAGAAAATGGGAGATGAAGGAAGGTTATGCACAGGTGACATCCCTTTTATGCAAAGGCTATATCCCTTTTTCGTGACAAAAGGGATAACATTAAAAAGTTAAATGAATGAAAAAGTTTAGTATCACTAATAAGCAGATAAATAAAAATTAAATTAAAAGCTGCTTTTTTTCATCTGTTTAGTCCCATATTAAATTAATAACACCTAATTTTTCAGTGCTCTTTTTTTTTGCCAGTGAGAATATAATCAGGCCAAGATTTCTGGACAGGCATTTGGCAAATATACCAGAAGCTTGATAAACACACTGGACATTTGAATCAGCATGACGAAAGGATACACAGATAGATGTGCAGGGATGGCGAATGACAATGGAACCAGTGCTTATAAAAAAAAAATAAAAACGTGAACCAACTGAATACACAACAGTGGAGGATTATCAAATTAATATTGCTATAAAATGTAGTAGACTATGAAGAGACTGTTATAAAGAAGGATAAAGGTGCATAGATATAAGATGTTCATGGGTAAAAGGCTAAGTGAAAAGCATAGGTTAAACACCGTGAGCTCATTTCTGCAGTATGTCTACACACACGGAGACAATAATCTATCTGGGTGCAGAGGTGCATACCTGTATTCTGAGCACTCAGGAGGCTGAGACAAAAGGACCACAAGTTGAGGCCAGTCTGGGCTTCACAGGGAATTCCACACCAACTTGGACTATATAGTAAACTGTGTTTCAAAGCACTTTAGAGCTGGAGATGTGACCCCATGGTAGGTAGGGTGTCTGAGGCAGACTGTTTGAGGGCTTGAGCTCGATTCTCAGCACCGCTTAAAAAATAAAACTGAAGATCATAGGAAAGACGTGCCCCGCGATTTAACTGTAGCTAGCTCTGGAATTGAAGGTGAGCGGCTCCCTGTTGTTTCTATGACTCCTAGAACCAGTTTTTACAAAATGACCACATGCTATTAAAATTTTAAGTACAAAAATTTTTAAGTAAGAACTGTAAATATAGTTTGTAGCTAAAATTCAAAGTTGACTGGCATATGTCCAAACTCATCAAATGGAATATAGCAAACACGTGATATTTATATAGTAATTATAGCTCGGGAAAGCTGTGAAGATTAGTATACTGTGCCACAGGAATAAAATCAAGGGAATTATAAATTGTGGAGTTTCTTAGCTGGAATTGGGCTGAGGCTTCTGGTAGGAAAAACTCTGCGGACTATTCGTGGCTGGTCTGTGGACAGAATTCTTCAGACTAGCAGCCTATGCTGTAAGATGTCTAGGAGAATCAAAAACTCTGGGTGTAACTACAGAAATTCAAAGTTTAAACCCATCTTAGTTCTCCTGACTATAATCAAGCCAAATAAGGACAAAATCATCTTTAAAACGATGCACAATTAACATGTTTATTAAAACACACAATTAATAAATTCTCCACTTACGGCTTCTGAAGGAGTATTTGTTAGGTTCTCTAATATGTCAGCTTTCATTGACTAAATTGATAATATATAA